GGGGGAACACCAACCAACCCGGATCTCTCCCCAGCCCACGGGGTAGGTTTGCACCACAGCTGTGGTGCGAGAGCAAGGCTGTACCAGTCCCTCATCACGGCGTAGTACATGTACCACAAGTACAAGTTGGACAACCATCACAGACGTGACCTGCTCGTTGAACGCGTACAATTCGACTTTTCACATTGTATGTTCGTCGATATTCGAAGGCCACGAAGTGGGAGAGCCTGGAGGAGCTGATAAGAAACCCGAGAAAAGCCCGGTCATTATAGCTGCAATGGTGCTGTCTTTAGGCAACTTCCTGTCCAGATGCTGCGATAATGATGGGGCGTTGAAGGCGTTCTCTTCGGGTGAAGACGTCGTATGGTACGACCGTACGCCGGTAGTAAGCAACTTGGTCACTGAGGCCGTCTCAAATTCTGTCGATCACGCCTTGCTCAGCAACCACTGATTCACCGGGTCCGTTCCACCTCTCTATCTCCCATACGCTGTCCCCTCAGCGTAGGTTCAATCAGCCAGTAAGTTTCTTCCACCTCTGTTCCGCCTGCTTCTCCTATCTCCCCATCGTGCTGCGGCCTCAGACAGCATGTCTCGAAGACTGTAACCTTCAGAACCCAGTCTCAAGGGTCCATTCATTGCCTGTGATCACCTGACACAGGCTGCTGGCAGCATGATGTCGACGCGTAAAGTACTTTGCACGTTGAGCCTTGCATGCAGCTGCCTTGCCTACCCTCACAACAATCCAATGCATACAGACCTGCTAGTCCGGTCATTACCACCATCCAAAATAATTCCAAATGCAGGCCTCATTCCCCCTTCCCCCCCCCCCCAACAAGGTTGAAGATTCTTGCAGCCCCAGGCCCCCAGCCACTGGTGAAGATTGACATTCACAAGCTTAGTACTACACCACTACCCTCTTCCCCCCCGAACATAACACATGCGTTGTTTTCCAGTTTTTTCGAAACCTTTGTGACTCTCAAATAGAACACATATTATGCGTTGCATTTGAACATTCCGGCTGTTCGAATAGAACACATGTTTTATTCGAAAAAGAAAGCAAACTATTGTGTTGTATTCATGTATCGTGACAGCCTTGATGATGTACCAAGTACTACCAACTATCACCCTAACGATACTCCTATCCTTGACCCTTGGTCAAACAAATTCAAATTGGGAATCGTCAATAGTGTAGGCATCCAAACTAACAAGTTGAACATACAAACTAGACTTCAGAAAGGACTCAAAAGGAGTCATATCTGATTCACCTTTATTGGTTACAATTCTCCTTTGCTGTTTCCAGCCTATCTCATTCTATACACAAGGCCTAGCTCAGTGCTCACTACCCACAACTTGAGAAGCATTTTCAGCACAATATGTCCTTGGCGTGTGGATTCTGCCGCAATGCTACACAAACCTTAATGGTGATCCTTGTAGGACAGTACTATATATCTTATTTATTTATTTTCTCTCTTCACGTCTCTCTTTTCCCCTTGGGGTCTGCATCTCCATGTGCATTTCAGTATATTCTGTTGACCCCCATGTCTCTTCGGCATTATCTCCATCCACCTCTTTTCACTTTCACAAACCAAAACCTTGTCTCGCCAAAAGGAAACATTGTTTGCCGGCATCGGCCGCAATAGCAGATCTTTGGGAGACTTTTCAGGTACTTCAGCCCACGACACCTATCGCTATCGAGGTACTTGTCTGGCCAAGATACTCAGACATACATTGTAGGGATAATCGGTGGACAGCGCCCATGCCAAAACCTTTCTGGTTTTGGCCGCCTGAAGCTCAGCCCCTTGAAGTTGCCTTTCACCCAGGCGGAAGTTGTTTGGACAGGTACTGGCCCAGTAGTACCAAACCGCCGAACTTTGGGCGCCCAAAACTGAACAGGTTTCTGCATGGGCACTTTCCACCAGTTATCCCTACATAGCATCTTTGGAAGTTGAAACCTTCTTCTTCAAAGCCAGTGATTCATTGTCCAAAGGAGGAGAGGATCAATTCTGCAACTGGAAGCTCAAATTGTACGCTCTGAACAACAATTACACTTGTTAAACTTGAGCGGTACCATGAAGTCGCTTTTAAGACGAAGAATGCCAGCATTTTGCGAGGGCAAGTGGCTGGCGTGCAGTAGCGTAGGCTGTCTAACACAGTCCTCCCGAAGTAGTCACCTCCACTTCTACGTCGGGTAGGGTCCATTCCCTTCTGGAGTATGGATTCCACATTTGCAACGTTGGTCCCATGAAATACCAACTCAACCGCCGGGCATGCCGCATTAATATCAGCAAGAACATTTGCAAAGGATCGAGTCAAGTCCTCGGGGGCCGAATCTGCAGAGAAGGCCATGCAGAACGAGAGTCAGTAGAACTCATTTCTGCTCAGGTGCAACCATGCCAGAGGTCACAGTCAGTCTGTCAAAGATACATCATGATGTCCCTAAGCACTCGTAAGCAGACATATCACCAAAATTTAACATGTCATCAACTTCAAAGTTTAAAGAGTACAGTAACAAAATAGGCATCACAACTTCAGAAGTAATCTATTTTTCTTCTGTCAGGATTCTACATATCAACCTTGATATATGTGCACCATCAAGTGCTTCAAGTCGCACGGGATGAGTAATTGACATTAAATTTTCTAAGATGAATCATCAGCCTGAGGATTGAAGTCTCACACAGGGGATTGCAAAACCGGTTATACATGACGTACGACTCACTAAGAGTAGAGGAATCTGAGGGACGAATTTGAGACAACTGCGCCTGTCGCTGCACAATTATTCAGAATTCGCAGAAATAACAGTCCACTCCAACCTCCAACCTTGGGCAAAGACCAGTTAGAAACTGCAAGAAAAACAGTAATTTAATCATGCGTCCGACGGCCTACCGGTTCAATAATTGGCAAAAACGGGAGGTCGCGGCAATGGTACTGCTCTTTTTCCTGTGGCCCTCCTGTTTTTGGCTCGTTTCCCCAGGGGTGTGGCCTAGGCATCCCGGCCATGGCCCGGCCACAGGTGTGGCCTAGACAGCTCGGTCATGGGATAAGCAGGCGCAAAAAAAAAAAAAAAAAAAAAAAAAAAAANCGCATGTGCTGACGTGGCAGCCGCGCGACGACAACGAACATGATGGGGAAGACGACGAGGAGGAGGGGGAGAAGAAGATGGGGAGGAGTAGAGGAAGATGGCGAGGACAAGAAGAAGAGGAGGAGGAGGAGAAGAAAAGGAGGAGGAGGAGGAGAAGAGGAGGAGGAGGAGGAGAAGAAGAGGAGGAGGAGAAGGAGAAGAAGAAGGAATAGAAGATGACGAAAGGAGGAGGAAGAAAATGAGAAGAAGAAGATCGCAAGAAGAAGAAGAAGAAGAAGAAGAAGAAGAAGAAGAAGAAGAAGAGGAGGAGGAGGAGGAAAAGAAAAGGAGGAGGAGGAGGAGGAGGAGATGAAGAAGAAGATGACGGTGACGAAAATGGGAGGAGAAAAGAAGAAGAAGAAGAAGAAGAAGAAGAAGAAGAAGAAAAAGAAGAAGAGGAAGAAGAGGAAGAAGAAGAAGAAGAAGAAGAGGAAGAAGAAGATGAAGAAGAAGATGAAGAAGAAGAAGGAGAAGAAGAAGAAGAAGAAGAGGAGAAGAAGAAGTTGATGAGGAGGATGAGACGGCGAGGAGGAGGTCGAGGCGGAGGGAAAAGTGAAGATGACGAAAGGAGGAGAAAACGAAGAAGAAGAAGATGATGACGAAAGGAGGAGGAGGAGAAGACAATTAGGAGGAGGAGATGAAGAAGATGACGAAGAGGAGGAGAAGAAAAAGAAAAAGTAGAGGAGAAGAAGAATGTGATGAGGAGGAGGAGAAAAAAAAGAAGACGATGAAGAAAGGAAGAGCACGAGGCGGAGGAGGAGGAGGAGTAGGAGGAGGAGTAGGAGGAGAGCAGCAGAAGAAGAAAAAATGAAGAAGGAGAAGAAGAAGAAGAAGAAGAAGAAGAAGAAAAAGAAGAGGAAGAGGAAGAAGAAGAAGAAGAAAAAAAAAAAAAAAAAAAAAAAAAAAAAAAAAAAAAAAAAAGGTCACACGTGCGGAAAAAGAAAAAGAAAAAGTAACAGGTGCAGCCAAAAAAAAAAAAAAAAAACCAACGAGTGGCTGCCTGATTTTGCCACTTCCGAACTTCCAACGGCTAGAAGTGCACAAAGCTGTAACGGCAGTTCTGATTTAAAGTTGCAGTTTTTAACTGCCCTCGGCCCAGAACCGCATTGCCCTGTTGTTATTCCTGTGAATTAGGAACTGTGCAGTGGTCACCCACGCAGTTATTTCGATGAATGTATACCATACATGCAAGCGCAGGTCACGAAGAGCTGGCGCACACGCGCACCATACCCCCCTGGCGGACCAACTGCATGGCTCACGTGTCTCCAGGCCCATGGCCCCAACAAAAGACGAGCAGGAGTCTTTCGTTAGTTACCGGGTTCCCCTAGGATTCTAGGTAAATCAGGTCCGTTCGTTTGGACTCTGAAGCACGATAAAGACAAGAAGAAGGGATTGGGCGGGTGGCTGGGGGCGTTTTCTTTTCTGCTCGTAGTCTTGCAGGCCCGCCTTTAGGATTCAGCTTCCACAGAGCATTTGTCCTCGGCTGTCTTCCTTCTCTTTCCCCCCACCATCGACAGGCTCCGGAGCCACCATGAGTGCCCATGGCCATCGTCATCCTTCGCTGCAGGTGGGTGTCCACCTGCCCTCCTGCCCTCCCTGGAACTGACCTGCTCGTTCTCATTATTCTACCCAGAGTCTCCTCCTGCTACTCCTCAGCTTCTCCCCTTCTCCTTCCACTCGTCTTCCTCCTCCTCCTCCTCCGTTCTCCTCCTCCACATCCTCCTCCTATTACTACATGTTGGTTTCCTGCAGATTATGCCCTTTACATTTCAGTATAAGGTGAACTCGTACATGTATCGAATTTGACACACAAAACAAAGGGCCGAAGGCCGGAACACGTTCCCGCATATGGTGAAATTTTATTGAGAAAACTGCTCTGGAGTCACACTTTTAGTTCGGCATGAGCAAAAACATCAGTCCATTGGCAGGTATGTGGCAGCTGAGTTTGGAAAGGCAAAAAGAACATGGGGAAAAACAAAAAAAACATGGGGCAATAATGCCCTCCCGGCGGCTGCAGTCCCACACGTTCTGTTCTTCTGTTTTCTGCTGCTTTCATGACCACAGCGTTGTTGCTTTTTTTTTCGTTTTTTTTTTGTTTTTGTTCCATGCTATAACGCCCTCCCGGAGGGCACAGTCTCATGCGTTCTCCAGATTCTGTATCCAGGTGCTTTCACGACCACAGCTTTTACGCCCATAGCGTTGTTGCTTTTTTTTTTGTTTCGTTTTTTTTTT